CACACACACACACACACACACACAAACATATATATGTGCGTATCAATCTTTGTTTGGTTGTGTTCCCAGGCTCTGGAGGCTGTAAATATTCAACTGAGGGAGCTTTACCCCGACGATGAGGAGCTGTTTGATGTTGTGCTCATGACCAACAATCATGCATACGTTGGCCTGAGACTCATCAATACCATCAATCATCACCGTGAGTTACCAATATATAAGAATGGCTGTCCTGTAGCTGTACTGTGGCTTTATTATGGCTGAAATATGACTGTATTGTGGCTGTAGAATGGTTGTAATGTTGCTGCAATATGGCTGTGATATAACTATGTTGTGGTTGTAAGCCATAGTGTTTCTGTATCATAGTTGTAATATGGCTGTGGTATGTTTTTGGAGGACTTGTTGGTTTGGTGAAATTGTTTTTTGCAAATAAGTTGCCACAGTTTTTTTCCTCAAACACTGAGGACACAAACAGACTTGAGGCAATTGTTTTACCTTTTTGAAAATGTGATTGACCTTTTGTCCAACAGTTAGATAAAACAAATGAAGCCACTCCAGTGTTTGTACGGCAAACATAAAACTGATGCTAACATAGAACTGGCTAAGCACAAAGATGATGCTAACAGATTTCCCTTGCTTCCACTATTGATGCTAAGCTAAGCCAACATCTTGCAGCATATTTATGATACAGTCATGAGAGTGGTTTTAATGGTTATGGTTTGATCTCTCTCATGGTCAACACCTCACAATGTTTTCCCCAAGGATAAGTGGTGGGAGTTGGGGAGCTGCAGTCTTCATGGTTCCTCACAGGGGTTTAACTCTTCCTCATCCTGCGTCCATTGATTGAGTCTGACCAAGAGGAATAATCTGCACGCATTTCATCCTTTCATGTCCCTCCAGGTTCACTCTCTCTCTTCTGGCTCTGGCTCCAAAAGCCACATGCTGTCAGCATTTAATATTACAACAATCAGAATACAGAAATGGTTATGCCCTCAATCCTTCGATTCTTCATTATTGTCATTACTATCTCAGGATTTAAAGAAGACTGATATCTTATTCACCTTAATTACTTTGATATTATTTAACTTCCGTCGCTATCGGAATACAGGCAAGGTGGTGGGGGGCGTCAACAAATTTTATAATAAAACCTTAAGTAACGACTTCAATCTTTACCATATTTTTTGTTTGATTATCAGATGACTCTTGCATATATTCCATGTTATTGACGTTAACTGTTCACTGAGCTTTTTGTATCCTTATCTCTGCAGAGTTGTTCATCGAGCGCTTCTGTATGACAGGGGGAAACAGCCCTGTGGGCTACTTGAAGGCCTACCACACCAACCTGTACCTGTCGTCTGACCCAGGCAAGGTTCGAGAAGCTCTGGGGGAAGGTCGGTACAATAGGAGAGAAGCTGTGTTATTGAGAAGCTTTAGTAATAGATCATGATAATCTAACAGTAGTTAGTCTTTGAGAAGGTTTATGGATGTGTGGATGTGTGTGTGACGTTTTGCACGAACCAGGTATAGCGGCAGCCACCATGTTCACCCCGGAGAAGATGACGGAAGTGTCGGAGACTCAGCTGCGTGTCGCCTTCGACGGTGATGCCGTCCTCTTCTCTGATGAGTCGGAGCGCATTTACAAGGCCCACGGACTGGACAAGTTCTTTGAGCACGAGAAGGCCCACGAGAACAAGCCTCTGGACCATGTACAGTAAACACATAGTGACAACTGTAACACTGCCAACAGAAATGTAGTTTATCAATTATAGACAGTTCTGTGCTTGTGACCATTGTTTATGCCACTAAAACTGAAATTTGTTTGGTAACACGTTGACGTCTCTACAACAATGTGCACCAGAAAAGAATTGAGCTCTCAGAGCGAATTAAATCTCTAATTTGGTAAAACTGCAATTAAGAACATCTGAACTGTCATTTATTATTAATTGTCACTTACAGAGGAATGCCATGTCCACATATAATCACTATTAAGTACAGATTCAATAAAATACATTTAAATGACATCTGGAGAAACTGTAGACTTACCACCCTCCATCCTTCCATCCTCCTGCAGGGGCCACTGAAGGGTTTCCTGGAGGCTTTAGGAAAACTGCAAAAGAAATTTTATGCCAAGGGCCAGCGCATGGACTGCCCCATCCGGACATACCTGGTGACGGCTCGCAGCGCAGCCAGCTCCGGTACCCGAGCCCTAAAAACTCTGCGCTCATGGGGCCTGGACATTGATGAGGCTCTCTTTCTGGCAGGGGCACCCAAGGGCCCCATGCTTGAGAAGATCAGGCCACATATTTTCTTTGATGACCAGATGTTTCATGTGGAGGGGGCAGCAGAAATGGGGACAGTGGCATGCCATGTACCCTACGGGATAGCTCAGAGAGTAATCAAGAACATGGACAAAGAGACGTCTTCAGCACCAGAGTAACCTGGACATGATGGTGGTGATGGACAAGGAGCTTGAGGGGACATTTCATTTTGGTGTTCAGCAGCTGAGGTTTTGTAATTACGTTCATCTTAAATTTCTGACATTATAATCCATTCAGAGCATGATTCTATCCATTAGATTCACAGTTCATAAAGTAGTAATTTCAAACGAGGAATCAAGCTTTAAAAACGAGAGAAAAGCCATCAACTAAAATTAATATTTGGGTGCCAGTTATATGACAGCAATATTCTTAAAGATAAAAGATAAACAATCAACCAAAGGGATTCTTCACAACCTGGTATCTTGATATCTGTTCTCATTAATTGCTCTATGAATGGTTTATTAACAATTAGTAAAGCCAAAGTCCTTTTTGTTAATATTCCTCCTTTTTATCTCACAGCAGCATCATGTATTACAATATCCACTCATATAAAGTATTTCTAGCCATATGAAGTATTATCCTCTAAAAGACAAACTCAATTGAAACTAGAATGGCACATTAGAGCGCAAGCTGCACCAAATTACACGTAGTCATAGATACCAGTTGCTTAAATGTGTCTGAGTTTTATTCTCTGGGAAAAGGGTCAACATTTTGAACTCTTACAATGTTAAAGAAAGTAAAAAAAAAAAAACTTCCTTGTGGAGGCTAAAAAGTATCCTCAAAATCTAACAGAAGCAATATTCTCAACAATATTTGCTTAGATTCTAGCTTACAGGTCAGGAAGAAACATCAGTGACTTCTTTTATTATTTTATGTACTCATATAACATATTTTTACACACATTTACCCATATTAAGTATAATCCTCTGAAAGACAAACTCTATTGAAATAAAGAATCCTTAAAAATTGAACAGAACTACATAGATATTTAGAAGAAAATCTATAAATTTAGATGCCAGGTTACAAATCAGGAAGAAACATCGAGTGACTCTGGACTATTTTTGATAGAGAGCGAGTCTGAATGGCGCGTGACCTGTGCTACAGAGCTGCACCGAAGACATGCACTCAGTCATTTCACGCAGAATCTCCATGAAGATTTCTATGGTTTTATCACTTCACTGCTCACCTGTGTTTTAACTTTTTTTTTTAAAACGGGTGCCTTTTTCTCCTTGTTGTTTTACTTTATTGTTCATGTCAGCCTTGCACGTTGTTGGTAAATGTGGCTGTTTTATCAATGTTTATGAATGTATTTTAAGATTGCAAATGAAGAATATTGGTGAAATATTCATTTTTTATTTCCTCTTGTGCAATAAAATTTGTAACATATTTAGTAATATTGTTATCAGCCATGTGCAATTTTCAATTCTGCTCCTCGTCCCTGAAGTGCCCAGAGTTCAGTGTGTCCCTTGTTGTTGCCTATATGTCTGTTTTATTATTGTCATTCAGCTTTGTTGATGTTGGTATTGTTGCTCCACTGTTTGTGTATGAGTTTGATCAAGTTGATATTGAATGAGTCCTAACTTGTGAATTCTGGTGAAGGGGAGTAGTGGACTGTTAATGCAATCAAGCTTTTCTGTTTCAAGATAAAAGTAAAAATGTCTGTTTGCAAAAAGCAGAGCTTCGTGCATTTTTCCCTCCATAAACAGATTGGTTTTTATTCATTTGGTTGCAGAACTCAATCTTTACGCTCAGTCAAGAATTGAAATGAAAAGCAAGATCTGATGGTTTACTCAAAAGACTACAAAAGGATGTACGCTGACAGTGGCCAAAGTTATACTTCCACTTCACACTAGGGGGAGACAAAGACCAACATGTGTTCAAGCAAGCAGCTGACTAAATATCACAAAAGGTCAAGGAAATAATTAACTTTGTAACAGTGCTATAATTTTAGTGCATTGATATGTTCAATGAATATCATAGTATTTCTCTATCAGGAATTTTATAGCCTATGGTCAAAATAGTTATATGATCTATTCAAATATAATTTAGGCTTTCAAAGTTGGTGTCACACGGTCACTGCCACTGGATATTACAAAACAATGAGGAATCATCGAGTATCCACACAAAACACGCTTGTGCATACAACTAATAGCTGTTCTTTTCTTCAGCTCACTACACCCAATCAGACATTGCAATACGTGACATGCAACTAACATTGCCAGACAAGAAATGTTATGATTATATGGTGAGAATTAAAGGATAAGGGGCCTTCTCTTACTCAGGTATCCAATAACTTAAATAGGTGTTCCTCAGGGCTCTCTTTTGTATGTCATCTCCTATTTATAACTTACCTCCTACCTCTCATTCTTATTTTTGTTGTTGTTTCGTTAGAACCCTGATTTCAACTTTATAGAGCTGGTTGTTGTCATTGTAGCAATGGAGATGAAAACCAAATTTCCAAAAAGTAAGAAGAGGTGAGAAAGAGAAGGCCCCTTAGCCTTAAATTCTCACCATATTATTGTAGCAGTCCTTTTTTGGGAATTTTAGTTGCGTGTCACGCATTGCAATGTCTGATTGGGTGTAGTCATCAAAGGAACAATGCTGGTGAAATATAAATAAAGTATGTGATTGACGTGTGACTAAGTACAACAGCAACTCCCCAACCTGGTATTGATTTTCTCCCATTGCCATCTCCACCTACAGTAACACACATAGTGCACACATAGAGCACAGTGGTTCTTGTGCGGCTGGTGCAAGCAGTTATGGGACAAACACAATTATGAAGAATCATGTAAGTACAATTTTCTTCAAAGAAGCCAAACTACAAGTGCTTCATAAATATATTTAGAGGTGCAACTAAACTCAATTTGTATCTTTTAATGTATAAACATCAGAGTTGAAGATGGTTATTAGACATCATCTTCTTAACCAAGGTGTAGTTGGAAGAGATGTGTCTTTAGCCTGTGGCAGAAGGTGTGTAGACTTTCTGCTGTCCTTATGTCAATGGGGAGCTTGTTCCACCATTTGGTAGACCAGGACAGCAAACAGTAATGATTTTCTTGAGTGGCTAGCTGTCCTTCACAGCGAGGGAGCAGCAAGCTGTTTGGTAGATGCAGAGCAGAGTGGACGGGCTGGAGTGTAAGTTTAACAAAATTTTAAAAATGCTGTTAACAAAACTACAAAAATAAATAAAAGCAAAACTTGGGTGAAACACACTATAAAAACCTCAGCTCTGCATTAGGCAATGCCCCTTTAACCACTGGGCCCTTGCAGGTTCCCTGGCTTAACTCTATTCAAACTCCCCCTCAGGACCTCCAGCCTCCTCCTTTATACCGGCTGGGTCCTACCAAGAAACATTGATTGATCATTAATAATCATTTGTCAAAAAGGGAGATTACACTTGATACTCAAAAAATCTTAACATTCTCAATTGGATAACAAACATGGTTGTGGGTCCATATTACTTCTCAAAACCAGTTAAAACAGCATTTTTCCTATGACACCCTCAACAACCCTACAACTCTACCATACTTGGTGCCTTCCCATGCTCATAAGCAAATGGTACCCTCCAGCACAATTAAGGCAGTTCCAACAATGGGGCACATGTACAGAAGAAAAGACACATGTGACAAACAGTTCATTGATTTTGTGAAACCCTTTTAACAACAAGTAAACAGTTTTATGTCGATGCCAGTCGCTGTGTCTCTATTTTTAAAATGCATTACGTTTATTCTATGACCCCTAAATATATCCTGCTTTGTTGGCGGGTCTCCAACATTTAACAATCTTTACACTACTACAGAGGCCTGTGACAGTTCTCAGGAACACAAAAGTGATTTAGTGACATCTAGTGGAGAAGTTGCATGTTGCAGCTGAACACCCATCACCCTCTGTTCCCAACATGAAAGAGAACCTGTGGTGGCCTTCAGTTGTCATACAAACTCAAAAGATGTTTAGTTTGTCCAGTCTGGGCTACTGTGAAAAACATGGCAGCTTCCATAAAGAGGTCCTGCTCCTGATGCCAGTAGATCCCTTTCATCTAGATCTTACATACTGGACCTTTAACAAATATATTAAAGTTATTGTACACAAGTGCTTAAATACCATATAACAGTACATATTCTGTTTATGAGTCATAACAGTGTCATTATACATTGGTGGATAAATAGATACCGTAGAGGCAGATAATGTATTATATTACTCTGTACTGGAGATCCAGATAGGGTGAGTTACACAAGGCTTAGAGAGTTGGCCAAGGACCAAGTTGGGAAATGGAGGTTTGAATGGTTGATTGGTGTTTGCATGGGGATGAACTGGCTGGGTCACAATGACCCAGCGATATCGGCAAATGACCCAATAGAACTGGGTGTTTTCGCCAAAATAGGTGCAATGGAATGTATTCCATTGTTCCTATTTTCCACTGTTCCTAATGAATTGGCACACCGACACCTGACAGTTGCCAGGAATAAGCAGGGAAGAAGGGGACCTCTGGATCCCCGACACCATAACACACACACACACACGCACAAGCACACCAACATACACTCACTTTCACTCCTGGGCGGTCACCGAGGATATAAGGTCTGTGAAAGTGAGTGTTTGGGGTTGTTTCGGGGGGTTGTTTCGTTGTTGTTTCGACGTTGTTGGTATGCTGATGTCATGCAAATAAAGAAGTCCCGCCTGGCTTTAACTTTTCTCCACGAGTTCTGAGTCTTTCTTAACTTCCAGTGTTTTACTGAAGTTGAGCATTTCTCTTACAATACTTTAACTAAAAAGGACAATGAACCAGTTAAGTCTTTCAAATGTGTTTTAAGCAGGTGGCTTTTAATGTAACATCATGTCAGGAAAATGCAAACAAGACAACTTCCCAAACATTTCAGAACATAAACATGTTGCTTCATCACATGTTTCATTAGATTAACAGGATAACCAGTTGATTGTTCAGAAAAAGAGGCTTGCCACCCAACACGAGCTTCTTAATCACTTGTCAGCTTTCCTTGTGTCCTCCGACGCACCTACAATGACATTACACACATTGCATGATCAGTAAATTGTATCAAGCTACAGAGAAAGTATCACCAATACTATCATGACACTAAAGTGCAGACAGTAATATCAAATGAAATCATCGACTGGCCACCAGAACTATTACAAAGCTGTCACTGTATGTTCTAATGAAGATATTGGCAAAACAGATATTTTAAATATAAGATGATTGAAAATTTGAGGTAAGTAAAGTAGAATAAGGTAACAAAACTAAATAAGTACTGAAACAAAATATAAATGCAGATTTAAAGATTAGATTAGATTAAGCCTGTAAATTATAGTACCGATGTTAAGTGGATTAAAAAATTTGAAAACAGAGCAAGAATAAACACTTTAGATATAAAACTTATCCAACCAAGGACCCAGTTCAGACCAAAATGAACCATCTACTGTTACCTTTTGATTGAAAAGCAGAAACCATACTTCCTGCTGGCACTCCACCTCCGCTAGCCACTGCAGAAGCTGACATCATTTTAGCAGCCACAGAGCCTGCTGCAATTCCATCTGAGGTGAAACCTGCGGTCCCCAGAACACTTGGGGCCTTATCCTTCGTCACTGTTGAACAGAGCAGAAAGGGAGCCTTCATTATTATTGTAATTATGATTATAATGGTTGTTATTGTTATTGTATGTCTATTAATGTCTTACCTGCTCCAACTGCTGCACCTGTCACTGAAAGACAAGAAATTGCATCTTATTACAGCTGAGCTTTACAGACTTGTATCACATGCTATTATTAATAAAGAAACATGATGCTACATATAGAAAAAGAATGTTTCACTATAGTCAGAGGAAGAGTGGTACTCACCAGGGTCCATGTTTTTTCTCTTCTCTTCTCTCTGCTGTGTTTATCCTCTGTTGTGATCAGCCTCGAGCTGGACTGGTATTTATTCACTTCATGTAGGTTTCCTCAGAAATGAAACTATGGTACGATCCAATAAATGGGAGAAACAGAGAGTCACACCCTCTCTACTGGACTGCTGAAGAAATGAAACTGATGAAATCCAACTGAAAAGAAAAGTATGGAGAATGAATGTGCAGTTTTATTATTTTCATTTCAAAACAAACGATGGCACAAGGCATGGCTGAGCAAATGTTTCTTAAACAAAAGAAGGAGGTTCTTCATAAAAGCACCAGTGTACAATGAACTTTTAGCTTGTCTGATGGTAA